CTTACTTTTCCTGCCTCCCTCCCTCCTTGAAAAGACATAACTAATATTTGTGCACAAACACACACACACACTCATATAATATTACATTTCCCACATTTGACCAAATGTAATTGTGTGTGGGAGAGTGATGTAGTATATTTTGTTTAATTTTTAGAGGCCGTTTAGTAGTTGTGTGGGCGCCGTGATTTTTATGAATGAAAATTTTCCAAGTAAATGTAGACAAGTGTAAACGAATCAACATAAAATTCTCATGTCAAACATACTCGTGCGACTCACTGACTACAAACAACATTACGTTTTTGACTTTGAATATATAGTATGTAGTGTTGTTGTTTTTTGAGTTTTCTATTTAAATATTTTATAGTGAATGCGCTTGATGCTGCACTTTTCGCATACTGGACCAGACTAGACATCCGGTTGATGATCGCACATAGTATTTGCACAAAAAATATAAAATCCATATTATCACTTAATTGCAAATTTAAATACAGACATATTATGAAAACACACATCGATCTATTATTTGAAGTAAAAGCTTTAATTTTATATATATATTTTAATAAAAAAGTATTGAAAGGAGAATTGATCGTGTTAATTAAACTGTGTTAAAGCACTTGTCTTTGTATATCATTGTGTTTATCATTAATGTGGTAAAATGATTGTAATGTTTGTGTTGTTAATAATTGGATCCAATTTCTTAATAATAAATATTTCTTATCAGAGAATTAGCTGTCTCTTGGTAATACAAAGTAATTCTTAACTTATGTTTTCAAAATTCCCTTAGAATCTAAAGTATAAAAAGTTGTCTTTAAAAACTGGTCTTGTAATTTAATTTAGTTCATTAGTATTAACACGAATATGTGTCGTTAATAGATTAAAACTATTTCTTAAATCGTGTTTCTTTTAGTAGGCAATATGAGCTATTCACGACAAGCTGTGTTTAATATGGGTATGGGAAGGCCTATTCCTTAAAAACCACAATTGTTCTAGAATTATTTTAGCTTAAGGCTGTTACGAGACCTTAGCATCGACACTCAGCAACATATGCAGTTGTTTTCAAACATCCTTTGGATGAAACTTCGGATTATGGGTCTTGAAAGTTCGTGAGATTAGGAAATACAAATTAAATAAGAATGTACTGAAACAAGCTCTAAAAGATATCTTGGATATGAAATATATCAAACTATTGACAACTCCTCAAATTTTTATGATCATTGGAACAATATTTTGTAACTGCTCTTATAAACGTTACGTCCCCATTGCTGAAAGACTTTATCTCATTGATATATCTTACAGGCGTATGCCCTGTGTTCTCTGTGAGACTAGATGATTCACTTCTAGCAAATTTGTTTAGATTCATTAATGTATAAACATATCTTAGTCTGTGCTCTTAGAGAGCGGTCTAATTACATAGAAAATATTACACCGATTTTTAATCTAAACAACTTGTTTTCTTCCTTAGATTTCGTGTTAAATGCGACCACAATTGACAGCATTGAACCCAATTCCAACACACATTCCTTCATTACCTGTAAACGAACCCTGTCTCCTAAGAAGAAGAAAAATCAAATAAGGTCTTTATTGAGAAAGTTGGTCCAGCTCGATACCTACTAAAATAATGTGGTCAATTATGCGATTGTCCCTGAATTTTGAAATTCAATCGATATTAATTTGAAATTAAATCGATATTAATTTGATATTAATTTGAAAGCTATAACTGGTTTTTGGAAAATCCTGCATATCGGGGCTTATACCAATTATAATAAAGTATTTATATACGATTTTGTCCCAATATCAATAAACCAATTTCATTGCGATACTGTTATTTATTCGCAAATTATAAAAACAAAAGCTATGATTTCTGGATATTTAGAACTTGATCCAAATATGTTTAATATCGGCAATTAACAAACTGATATGTGTTTCCGGGGAGGATGTTGTATAGGGACTGTATGAAAAAATAGCCGTTTTTAACGAAAATTAATAGGGTTTGTGCTTATAAACCTTATGTATAATTTTCTAATTAATTTAGTTGCGCTGAATGTGTCAAATTTAAGGTTGTTATATCTCGAAGTTGACAGATAGAACTTTAAGAAACAATTTCTGAGTCGATTAAGACTTGTCCGTCCTTCTGACTAGCTGGCTGTCTATGTAAACTTCGTGCGCAAAGGTATAAACCACAACTTTCAAGATATTTCGATGAAATTTGGACCATACATTTTTTCCAGGTAAAAGTCTTATTGAAAATGGTGGAAATAGGGCCATTATTTCACTTATCCCCAATACAACCGGACCATCCGATTTGGGCTTTTAAACTCATAACTATGGTAAATATACTAGTATCTCATCTAACATCAAAACACTAAGTTTTATATAAACATAAAACTCACTGCCGTTTCTTATAATGATCGACCTATAATTGTCCTCGGCCCTCATACAAACTCCCGAATAAAAAATGCCTTAAACCACCATACTTGACGCGTAAACATTAGTAATTAAATTCATATTATTTCATATTAAAAAAAATTCAAAATTTTAATGAGAATCGGTCCATATTTGACCCTTACTCTCATATAAAATATCTTTTAGAAAATTAGTTTTTCCCCCAATAAATCGCAATTGAGGTAAAAATCTGCATAAATAGTTTTTTTTTTTATAAAATATAAATAACATAACAGGTCAACGCTGAAAAAACTGTTCAAATAATTTTACCTAATTCTAGTGTTGTTTGCTGTGCTGATTCCGAATATGGAAATAAAAAAGTCGTATCACCCACACATGTTCCACATTTTCATCTTTTAGTCCTTTTGACTGCATACTTGAGCCCCAAATATAAAATTCCGTAATTTTTAAGGTGTTGCAAATAATGACTGTCTCTGCCTCGGGACTTATACGTAAAGTTATAAAAATGCATTCTGGAAGAATTTCGGGTAATAGGACTACGTTAACTAGTGGCGCCACGGCTCTGAAGTGGAAAGTAGTTTTTGCAAAAATTTTATCACTTAATTTATATTTTTGGATTTTAACAGAAAATAATTGAAATATATATTATCGTTACAATAAGATATAAAACATGAAAATCGGTTAAAAATTGTAAAAGTTATTACAAATTCCTACGATCCCTTAGTGTAAAAAAACACTTATCTCAGAAATATAAAAAAAAAAATAAAAATTTTGGGTAATATTTTAATATAATCATGTCATTACATTAAATATATTCATATTAACTTAAATGTGAACTTTTATCCTCATTAGATAGCATAAACCGTATTTAGGGTACAGTCATAAATGGAAAACTCTTCAGACGACCGTTTCATAATTCAAGTTTCAAACTTTTACCAATTGTGTTAAGCAAATTTTAAAATTTAAAATAAAATAAAAATATCCATGTGAAATTAGGTCGATATCTCTCACATATTAGCGTTACCTGCGATTTGAAATTTGAGGATTTCTGTAAAAACTATTTTATGTTAAAATTTTTGGAAAACAGGTTTACTGTTATCTATTTTATATTTAAACCTTTTGCAGATAATACAATTTAAGATAATATGACACATATATCTGAAGTTTTAGTAAAATCGAATAATGTTAAGCCATAAACAGTGAAGGTCAAACTTAAGCTATGCAATATAGAGAAATCTTCTTGAAACCAAAGTGAAATATTATTATGTTTTCAAACGATTTTAATGAAACTTAGGATAAATATATAATGAAGATCCGTATTTATGATGACACCGAAGAAAATTAAATTAACCTTTAAACGTAAATATATTTGTATACCCTACACCACTTTAGTGGGAAGGGTATATTGGGTTTGTGCTGATGTTTATAACTTAGAATCGTTTTCTGAGTCGATTTAGCTATGTCCGTCCGTCCATGTAAACCTTGTGCGCAAGGTACAGGTCGCAATTTTCATACATACAAAGTCCCCTTCCGAAAATTACTTGAATGTCCAAAAATTAACTTATAAACACAAATATCGCGATGAAATTCAGCACAAATAAATATTATATAAATATATTCACAAAACTTTATCAGGCTTGGTCCATATTTGCCCCTAGACCCCATATAAAGCCTCTTTCAGAAAATTAGATTTTCATCCAGAAATTGCTTAAATGTATCGGAACAATGAATTATTATGAAAAATAAATCACATTTAATATTCATAACTGGTGTAGGGTATCATATGGTCGGTCACGCCCGACTATACTTTCTTACTTGTTTTATAATTATATAACAACAACAACAACAAAATATTCGATCTCATTTTGCGACACAATGATGGGTGATAGAAAAACAGATATCATATTCGGTTTCAGCAGCTTAAACTACATTAAAATCAGTTTAATTGGTTTCAAAAGTTTTCACAAACCTTCATTTCGTTGGCCTGTGTAATTTATAACATATACTGATATGTGGTGTAAGGTATTAAATGGTCGGCCATGCTTTATACTTTCCTTAGAAAAACATTAATAACTCAGAACTCATTTATTAAACGCCAAGAACAAAAAGTTTTAATTTAATATTATGATTTCACTGCGTTACTTGGATAAAAATTCGGGGATTCTCACAAATAACGAATGTTTTAAATGATGTATGTTAAAAGCCCAGATATTTTCCATTAATAAGGTTTGTTTGGCAATATAATTGGTTAAATTAAATAAAAAACCATAATTTTACACAAAATACCTATTTGCTATTTTAAAACTATAAATTTTGAAGAAAAATTTTAGTTTTTGAACATGTCCTACCAAAAATGAAAAGTCTATTAATGTCATATTAACAGTCCATACTTTTTAAATAAATGTATTCAATAAATTTTGTTCCACACTAATGAAATGTATTCAAAAGCCTTAAAATATGCTACATTTTTTTAAAACTTTCTCTTTATATGGAAAATTCTAATTTCTCTAGACAAATGTTATTCAAAATTAGAATGTTTTTTTTTTAATAACAAATCGATGTAAAATCGGGATTTCTAATAAAATCCATGGTAATACCTTATCATTCATTAGATGTGTAAATATCTTAGATCTGCAATGTAAAAGTGGTTTCCGGAAGCATAATTTTTAGGATGTAGAAGGCTGCATTCGTTGCAAGTTCTGGTCAAAATTTTCAATATGATTTGTTTGTTAAATAAAAAGATCATGTCATCTGGCAATTTATTTCGCACTTTATTTTATTAATCTTTGTTTGTTTTGTTTTGCTTTGCTTTTTTGTTTAAACACAAATAATTTTTTTTTTATTTTGGTTTAAGTTCACTTTGTTTAAATTATTCTTTTATTTTAAGGGGTTTCCATTTTATTTTGCTTATTCGATTTATTTAATATGTTTTAATTATTAATTTCAATTTCTTTGTTTTATTTTATTTAAATTTTTCTTGTGTTTTTTTTTTTTATTTATTTACTTTTGGGTTGTTTTTGCTATTTATTTAGTACGGAATTTGAGACACAAAAGAACGAAAGAAAATTGTACCGTTATTTTGTACTGCGCCATTGAAGCAACGGAATGCGAATGACTATTATTACCGTATACAAATATTGCCGACGAAGAGACGAATGAGTAGTACACGAGCCGATACCGTAAACTAGAACAACAATAACAACAAAAACACCAACAAATCTACTTAAAAAAAAAACATACAAATGAACACAAAAAACGAAGTCTTTAACAAAAAAAAAACGTACATACAAACAGATAAATATGCATGTACTTCACGTATGTTTGTATGTATGTAAGTGTGTTTTTGTTGTACAATATTATTGGCAATATTCACTTCACTACACTTCACTTTTAGACTCTAACTAAATAGCTCCAAAAGAACCTTTATAGCAGACAGCCAACAAACGAATGAATGAAAAGAAATGATGAGTTCATAGACGAAGTCCATACACAACCAGAAAGAAAAAACTGAAAAAAAAAACACACAGCAAAAACGTAAAAAAACACGAAGTTTCATCTATTGCGAGCGACGTACTAACAACTACATTTTGGGGGGAAGTCAGAGCGCGCCAGCGTTAGTTAAAATAATAAAAAAAACGAGATGCTTAGCACAAGAACAACAATATCAAACCCAACTACTATATATGAAAATCAACCTCAGAGACTTTGTAAAAGCTTGCAAATTAATTAAACAAAAATATTCCAACAACAACAACAACACACATTTCTATTTAAAAACCGGCTTGCTCCCCATGCTCCACTTTTACAAAAACTCTCACACAAACACTCTCTTATTCATCTAATATTTGTAGCTCTTTCTCTCTCTCACTCCTTATATCTCTTTCGTTAACTCTTTTGAAAACCTACATTCGGGAAACAGTGTTCTCTTTGCTGTAAACATTTCAAGATGTGTTGGTAGAGTGAGAACGTAGGTCGTCTAGAGGCCGTTTGGTAGATATGTATGTTTGTTGTTGTTGTTGTCAATTGTACGAATCGTTTGTTGTCTTGGTCGAAAGAAGTCGTTCGCAAACCTCTCTACGTATTTTAGAATTGTAAGCTAGCTGATCTATTTTTAGTGCAATAAGTGTTGTCATTTTATTTAGGTTGAAAGGAGGATGAGCATATAACTATATCAGATTCGTAGAAATACATCTGGGCTGCTAGCTTCACCTGTAAATGTCGTCTTTCCATAGTTAACTTTTGAACTTTGAAAGGATTTATCGTCCTATGTTCAGAAACTTAGTTTCCTGGTTTGATATAACATTGCTTCCAAAATATTTTGGACTGATTTCAATGAAAGTCTAGCAATGATAGAGAATGTGTTTAAGAACTTCACACATGCTCTAGATTGGTTTGAAGCCGTTCGTCCCATTTTGTAAAGTTGTACCCAAAATCACGGTATCCCGTCATAATCTTTATACAAATGAACTTATTTATTCGGAGAAGACTTCTCTAACCTTGTGGGATCTTTGTAGTACCACCTACCGTGCCATTATTTCAAGTGTCCGAATGGAAATCCCACGCCCAAGCTTGTAACTCCGCTCTTGTTGCGTAGTACGGTTTTGTATTCATAAGGTTACCAGTTCAAGTTCCTTCTCATTCAAGTTCCCTTTATACCATTAGCTCTTTTGCCTATTAGACTCAAGTAATCTGGTGCCCGATTATGGGTCTCTTACAGTCCAACCTTGGGACTGTGCATTGATTTACTTTTAAATATTATTCTTGGGAATTCTTGAGATAAGTTTCTGGTAAATTTCTCAATTTTTCATAATCCAAGTTGCAAGGTCCAATATCTGGCTTTCGGAAAATATCATAGCATCTGTTATCTATTGATTCCTGTGATAATTTTCAGGTAAGTTGCCTCAATTTTCCATTATTCATTTATTCCAAGGGTTTTGTATTTCAACACTCTTAGAAGAAACATAATGCACTTTTAAATGTTAATCTTGAGTATTCCTGAGACAAGGTTCTAGCAAATTGTCCAAATTTTCCATTATTCAAGTCCAAGGGTTTCGAATTCTAACACTCTTAGAAGAAATTAATGTCAATAGTACAGTTTCAACCGGTTGAGAGGAATTAAAACGTTCCGGCATGTTAAAGTTTTAACTTTATTCTCTATATAAGTCTTAGCTAAAATTTGGCACAAATATTTCATCATAGTAAGATAGAATCAAATATTTTGAATCAAGATATCTGAAGCCCATAGGTAAAGACCTAGATGAATAAAGTTTTCGTTAATTCTCTGTTGATTAGCGATATTTAACATTGAAAATGGGAACAATCGGTCCCAAAGAAAATGTTAAGAACAAATTGTGAGAAAAGTCTTCACATTACCTAAAGCGCATCTGATTTTTAAGGCAGGTCTAATAATACACATATTATACTTTTTGACTTATTCTTAATAAACTAATGAGGCAACACTTCTTTAGCAATCTCGCATTTGTTTGTTCTCTCCCCAAACATACACTCATTTAACCTCAAAAGAAATTAATTTTCTTCTACTCATGTTTAAAGCTTAAATAAATCTCTTTTTGGCCCCAAACCTTGTAATAGTTTTGTAATAAAAACAATTCTTTTTTACATTTTACAATTTGGTCTCTTTCTCTCTACACTCTCTCAATCTGTAGAATGTATTCTCTTTTTTATTGTAATGAAATTTTATGTTTATTTCTCTTACACAGGGAAATCATGTGTTTTTTATTTAACTGCAAATCAAAGTCGAGGTCGTTGTACGACCGAAAGAATGTTGGAATGGTGCTGATGATGTTAAATTATTTTCTTTGTTATAGTTGCGTTACCGTTTTGTTTGTTTGTCCGTCCGTCCATTCGTTCGTTCGTCTGTCTGTCTGCAGCAAAAACAGCATTTGCTTTTTCGTGTGAGTGGTTGTTGGTTTTGAATATCTTTGTGTGTGTGTGTGTGAGTTTGACTGTTAAAAGCCGTATGTAGTTCCCATTCTGCTTTCGAATTGTATGCCAGTCGTGATAACTCTAAACGGTTAGTTGGCTTACAGTATTATTAATCAGTGATGGAAATTTTAATGCAATTTGTTCATTTTTTAGTACAATTTTGAAAAAAGTATATTATTATATAAAATTTTATAAAAAGTATTCCTTTGAGGACTAAGTCCACTAATGGGCCAATTATCACTATATATTCTTCCCATCACATTAAGTCATCGTATTATGTTAAAAATCACTAACAGAAGTTTAATTACAAGTTTACAAGGACGTGTACACATAACTTAATAGAACCAGACTGAGATTCTGAGTCGAAAGGTTAACTAGAAAGCGTAACATCTTCCCAACTAGTTCCAGTTTATATAAAAATATATATTCAGTTTGAATGAATTAGTTAGTTAGTTAATTTAAAAGGAGGATGTATATACATCAAATCCGAAGAAATACACCTAGGCCTCTATTGGGCCTGTTGTGCGCTCCTTAACCAGTGCATAACACTAGTGGTGAAGGTGTTATGTTTTTGAGTAAACCACTATCGGGGCTGTTGTAAGCTCGTTAAGCAGAATCGACCTCCGGTGGGAATCAAACCCACCACCTCCGGTCTACCAGACTAGAACACTAACCACTAACCTACCGTAGACCACTTTGAATGAATAGAAAGTGTTTTAGTCTGTAGTGCGAAGGTCGTGCGTTCGATTCCCACCGGAGGTCGATTCTGCTTAACGAGCTTACAACAGCCTCGATAGTGGTTTACTCAAAAACATAACACCTTCACCACTAGTTTCAATTCTTTAGCCCAAAATATCAGTTTAAAACCTTTTCTTTTTGATGGGTGCCTCCGAAGGTTGATTGGTACTGATCAAGTCTGTCAGAAAGGAGGTTCGAATGCCCCCAGATATTCTGGTAAAGGAACACCAAAAGGACCTTATAGTGGCCCATATGTATTCCTTGGATCTGATGTAACATACATCCTTCTTTTAAATAATCCAACAAAATGTTACTTTGCTAAAGGGGATTCAAATAATTTGGAATACGAGAATATATATACAGAAACAAAACTAACTAAACAAGATTCTCCAGACTCTCGCAGACTCAAACGTGCAACCTATAGCCTTGCATCAAACTAACATCAGATCAGCAGTATTGCTGCTGTCTGTGAAAATCTAAATAAGTACCGTTTCTTTGTGGGATTCGGATCGATCAGCCCAATTTTGTCTGGTAATTCATCTTTAGTATAAGTTAGTTTGAAAGGAGAATGTATATATATCAAATCCGGACTCTATCGGGCCTGTTGTGCGCCTCTTTACCAGTGCCTCAGGTAGGAATCGAAACCATAACCTCCGCCTACCAGACTAGAACACTAACCTACAGGAGGCCCCGCAGTATTAGAAAAACATCAATTGATTAGAAGTTCACCAGATAACAGTATATTTAACATATATCGGTTAGTGTGGATTTTGAACAGCGTCGAGTTGACCCAGAACATTATAACAGATAGATTTTTTCACCACAGAAATCTTGTACGGGTGGGTTTCGGAGAGGAGAATTGCTAAACCAGACCAATTCTGAATAACAAAGTCCCTGGAAGTTTTTTTCCTCTCCTATACCTAAAGCGCGCTAAAGGGAACAAACTCCCGGGGAATAATTATTCATAATTAACCTGATTGAGTTTTCGGAGGGCTCAGTATAGTAAAGAATAGTAAAGAACCTCGAATATGTGAGAAATAGATAACGAACTCTGAAAGTTTGAAGTCAATCTCAAAACCGAAATCATTTAAAATGTTTTGCAATTATATTTTAATTTTGAAAATCCCGACTTAAACTCAGCGACACTTCTTCTGAGTTATTTAAATTCGGTCTGGCCGTGCAACACTGTGTTCGACCGTTAGTACCTTTCTTTTACCTAAAACTGACCGAAAATGTACTTTCTTGTTGGTAAATTTTTAATTTCCTTTTCCCATCTCTGTTTCAGAGCAACACAGACACATGTCTATAAATCTAAGTAATTTCTAATTTATTTTGATAAATAAAACTAAAAATAAAAACAGCACAAGAAAAGTACAACAACTTATAAATATGCAATACGATCAATGTTTATAAAACTAAGCTTAAATACTAAATGATAAATTGGGCTTTTTTTTTCGGTTGTTTTTGTACATTAATTAGTTAAAAATAGAGACTAGAGTTTTGACTTGGTCGATGAGTTTGCATGTTTTGTGTTTTTTTGTTGTTGTTGCTCTTTTTCTCGATTATCATTATCAAGTGAGCGGATTTGCAGCTGTGTGTACTTTCTTATTTGCCAGTTTGTTTGTTTGCTGGGTTGGCTAAGATTGCTTTCCCAGTTTTTTGTAGCCACTAGACCATCATCATAGATAGAGTTTTGTATTTGCCTTTTGTCTTTATGCTGATATTGTTATTGCTGTTGTTGGTTGCTGTTGCTATTCTTGTTGCC